TGGAAACGAAATGGGATTTAACAGCTTGTATAGATTGTAGACTATTAAATTAGCTCATTTTTGAGACTACCATCTGGTTATTTTTAATGGTTAAGTGTGCAATGTGAGGAGATTAATTTTGCGTGAACTGTGATGTTTTTAAAATTGAACAGCTTAGGCGATGGAAACACTAACCGAAAAAATAAGCACCATAGTCATTCGACCGAATGGGTTGACACACCATGTCTTTAAACAATCATGTGACTTCTCGATATCAGTGGTGATTGGCTAATGAATTCTACAATCGGGCGAATTCTTCAGTGAAGCGGGCACACTAGGCGAATATAATTCGGGCGAATTACACTGGACACAGTAAGTGAATTTCGACGCTGAATGATTCGGCTGAACGATTTGACTAGTTTGTCCCCCACATTATTAGTTCTAGTACTATCAGCGATATTTATTTTTAGTCACGCTTCACATGTACATTGTAGACAGCTCTTCAAATTAGAGCACAGACAACATATCATTACCACACAATGTTGTATTTCTTCAGATAATAAAACATCCTTTTATCAGCTAAATCATGATAGATAACACCCAATTAGGACAAATATAATGATCTACTGCATTGAAAAACAAAATTAGAGAGAGAGAGAAATGGAGTTTAACATCCACCCGACACAAACTAGGTCATTTCGGGACTAACACATGGTTCATTTTTATTTCAATAGTTTGCTTGGGTGTAGGGGTCTTTAGCAGTTGGAGGAAACCAGAGGACCCAGAGAAAATGCACGAAGTTGGACAGGCGACCCTACTCCTTGTCATGTACAACCTGGGAAATGAAACCCAGCCAGTTGACTCAATGACAGACCTTATGATACAGCACACACATGCTAACCATTCGGCCACCTACACCCCCTGGGACTTTAGAAGGACACAAGGCACCAGATACAGTTTAGATATTTTATATGTGTATTGAGCCGTGTTTTTCCATCGTTGAAAGCTAGACCACACATTTTAGACTTTTATAAAATTGAACAGTTGAAAAAAAAGAGAGCTTTTTATTCTCTGCTAATAAAATCTAGAACTTCTGACTCACTTTACCTTCAAGCAGCGTCATTTGATACTCAAATCAATTTGATTTGATGACTGTGGATATCACTGACTGTCTTTCCACCTAATATTATTATAGAAAACAAAACTTGTAAATGGTCTAATTACTGGTCTATTGTTGCAGGGTTGACAGACAGCGACTTTTAGAATCTAGGTGTCAATTGAGAAATGAAAACAAAAACTAGGAGCATGGATCCATGGGGGGAGTTCCAAATAGAAACCAGTAAAAAAAACTGTCATTAGATTTGAAATATCAATCAACATTTCACACAGCCCTAATTGCTGAAAAAATTTCATTATGAATGCTGTATTAACAGGCTGTCCATGGCCAAACCTCTTTAGAAAGCAGTTGGTGTCTATGCCCTCCCTCAGGGGCCACAAGTGGTGTGCTTAGGGAATTGGCTTCATTGATGGTAATGAGTCCTTGTAATCACATCCTAAGATCGCATTTATATAGGAGAAAGAGAAATAATATGTCTAATTTACACATCCTGATAACTAAGCGGACACTTCCGCCTGAAATTACTAAGCCAATTAAACATCTTTAAGTGTCTGTTTGAATCCCTATTTTAAAAGAAATTAGGGTATTAATTTGATGCTAAGTGTGCCAGATGATTGGCTTGTGCCCAGAGGCCAAGAATCACAGTCGTTTAAACTCAATTAACACAGAGTAAAGCATTTTTCTTTATTAACTTACATAGGCAGTTCAGTCTTTAAAATGTTCAACATTGTGCGATTTTTAAGTGTATTATCACACGTACCTGCATGATAATTACCTAGTCTGTACTAGGATGAATGATTCTCTGTGCATTTGTTTATAGAAAAAAACTTATATATATTAAAACACTTAATTCCATTCGAATTTTCATTCAAGAAATAAGTGAGTTGAATTCAAGAAAAGTTATATACAGATGTTCAACATTGTGATATTTCTATGTGTATTCTGACACGTAGGTACATGTTAATTAAAAACCTGTACTAAAATGAATGGCTTTCTATGCGATTGTTTATAGAAATAATCTTATATATTTCAAAACCCTTAACTTCATGTGAACTGAATTCAAATTATCTACAGGAAAAAAAGACATAGTTGTTGGATGTCATTAAAATGGCATAATTTTGACCTGGAAGTAATTTTATTGCATATTGGGTATTTAAATTTTTGAAATTATTCAAAAGAGCTAATAATTACTTTTGTTTGACGTCATTTGATTTTATTTTACATTTGGTTTCGTAAATTGTAAATGGTAATTGTTTCATTTGATCAAAAGTTACAGTTCTTTATCTGAGATAGTATGTAAAATTCTCCCTAATTATTCATTGTCATACATGTAGCTTGTCACGAACATGTATTAGTACTTAAGATGAAAAAAAGATACTTGTTTTACGGGAATGAATTAGGTGACAGTTTTAATCCCAGCAATACATTTCATGCTTAGCAACAAGGAGTAATTAATATGACATTTATTTGAGATTTGTGGATACATAATAATTTGCCTTGTTTACACCTTGTTTATGGCATCCCATCGTTGTCTTAATATCTGCTGAAAATTTGACCACCTTCCTTGTCAAGTGTGTGAACTTACATATGAGGGTGTTCTCCATGCATAGAGACAAATTTCTTTTGATATCTACCCAATCTTATATGTTCACCTTTCAAATTTGACATTTTGAAGAGTTAAGACTCCTGGGAAGGGAAATTGTCATTCCATGGTGTTTCTGGTCGTAGGTAAATATTGTCAATCTCTTTTCCTCAGCTGTCGAGAAGGGACTTAACCGGATAAAAACAGGATAAATAGATTTAAACACATTGGTGAGCCATCATCCAATATGTCTTCCATTCAATTACACAATCTTGTATGACTGACCTCACTTGATATTTGAAATAAAATCCCATAGACTTATATGAAGAATACAGAACAAAAATGTTAGCAGTGTGTGTTATTAGGTATTTTAAAAAAGGCAAATTGTGAGGAAGTGGCCATACACTTCGTCACATTTGAAAGCAGGATCAAATTAGGTGTTTTATGTGTGAGGAAACCTGTCACATTGAAAGTAACATCAAACTCACATCTTTGCATAGAGGACAGAACTGTTAATTTGCAGCACAATGAATAATAAGCATGATGAAGCCATGTTAGAAATCAGTATCAAGAGGTGGACAATTATATACATGTAATCATGGTATCATTCATAATTTAAAGTGACATCTTTCTTTTAAAAAAATGTACTTTTAGAAAGTCTAGACATTTTTTTTCATATCATTAATTAACCTTGTGTTTGGTCATAGGGTCTGATGTTTTCTCAAATGTATTCAACTAGTCACAGTGTAATTAAGTTCTCATGTCAGAAGTACAAACAAATGATAGATACGTAGGCAATTATCAAAACTTCATATATCTATCTGCAAGTATTTTCTCGTAATGAATTACAGCTTTTTTTTTTCTTGGTGTACATGTGACCTAGATACTGAAGTAAGCATATAAGTCAAGACATTCTGAATAAACTAGACACCCGTCTGCCTTTAAAAATTTATTACTTTTGTTCCTTTTTAAAGGATAAGAAGTTTGTAAACTTTCTGATAAAAACTATAAAAAAAATGCTTTGGATCATTATTCCAGATAGCAAAGATGCATTATGTTTAAAATACATCGCTATTAGATTCTGTGTCGTGATAAGAAAAGTTTTTTTGAATACTGAATTGTGTGCACGCAACGATTGCCACATCTTGTAATAATGTTTCATTGTTATGGTAATTTCCCTTCAATATTATCACATTGTATCATCGCTACTTTTAATTATATATTTATGTGAAAATTTGAAGTAGATTTAATCAATAATAATTGCTTGAGCTGAGTAACAAATATGCAATGTTATTGGTTTAAAATTAGAAAAACGACATCAACCCAGGCAATCATAAAAACTATAGACTGTACACACCTATTCCCCCTGATATTAATTTATTTAAATAATAGGCTCTATTTATACATACATGCAGTAATCACGGTACTCAGGCATTATTAAAATGAGAGACTTGTGCATAGAATAGATTTGATGTTTTATATCATCATAATGAGAATTTCATTCATCTTTTGGAGTATTGAATTAATGTAATAAACTATATGCAACATGTGCATTTCAATTGGTGGTAATTGTCACTATTGTACAAACCATTTTATTAACCAAACACTTATTATCTGTAGTACATGTACCATTCAAATGAGAGCATTCATTAGAACAGTTTTGATCGTCAGTACAATTATCATCATCGGTACAATTATCATCAGTTTGATTAACAGGAACTGGTTTGATCATTAATACAATATAATTATCATTCAAATAAATTTGATGACTCCTTCAATTACTACCTGATACATTGTAATCCTTGACAGTATTTCTGGAATGATAATCAGTACAATAATTATAATATAATCAGTAAAATAATTATAATCAGCTCAATCAATATAATCAGTACAATCAATATAATCAGTACAATAAATATAATCAGTGCAATAATTATAATATAATCAGTACAATACTTATAATATAATCAGTATAATAATTATAAAATAATCAGTACAATAATTATAATCAGTACTATAAATATAGTGCAATAATTATGATAAAATCAGTACAATAATTATAATCTAAACAATTTTTTATTATACAAACAATTATCAACAGCATAATCATAATCATTATTATCATTGTCACTGTATGCATTGTTGACATAAATCTACCATGCCATTTATCAACATTAGACAAGCTGTAAAAACCAGACTATATTATTCAAATTGATTGATATACATGTAATAAGCACTTGATCAATAAAATCTTCAACATACACAAAAAAAATATGGATATTAGATTGAAAATTTTAATATGATTTTTTAATTTTAAATCAGGTATCAATGCTGAAGTACGTTACAGTTTAATTGGAGGTGATGGACTACAAGAATTTGGTATTGGAAGCATCAATGGTACCATCTTTACTACTGGACATCTGGATAGAGAAACAACACCTCAATATAGTCTCATTATACAAGCTACAGATCAAGCTGAAGATAAAAATCAACGAATGTCCTCAATTGGAACCGTAAGTTATTTTCAACATTTTGTATGAATGTTAATATTTTGGGCAAATTATATGCTGAAATCCTTAATAATTTTGATTGAAGTTATTGAGCTATAAAATCTTGAAAATTTCTTAATTATCCCAAATGGAAATTGTGAAAGTCAGTTTACAGTTTCTAGGTTTCCGTCTGTGATTTTGTTATGTCCATGTCCAGTTTTCCATCCACAGCCTTCGCTTATTTACATTGTTATGCCAGCCATACAACAACTGTTGGTACGACTAGTGCCACTAGGTGGAATATTGGAGATTAACTAGTGATGTCGTAGTACCTACAATACGAGCAGTGCTCTTCAATTGTTGCTGTCAAGACAACAGCTGTCACAGGAACCCATTATATAGATCGGCATACATCCAGGGACTTAGTGTTTAAATGGTTGCGGTCCTTTTTATTATATCTATGTATACCCATAATAAAACAATACTGGAGTCCGTCTTTTACAGAATATAGAATTATAGCAAAAGATGCTATATTGAGATACATTTACGAATATATATCGTTATGCATTTTCTTAGCATGATTTTCTGAATTATGCTATAATTTTCAGGTGATAATTACCCTGCTAGATGTTAATGATAGTCCTCCAGAATTTGTAACTCCTAATGTAACTTATGTCATGGAAAATTCTCAGAGAGGTTCAGTTGTTTTTACTGTGATCGCAACAGACAAGGATGAAGGAGACAATAGTAAGGTCGACTACAGTTTGACCTCAGCACCAGTGTTGGGGAATCCTTTTACTTTAAATTCCAATTCTGGAGATCTAAAAGTGAATCAGGATTTAGATCGTGAAACTTTGGCCAACTATTCATTACAGATACTAGCCAGGGACCATGGAAATCCACAGCTTTCTGCTATTCAAAACTTGGTCATTCTTTTGGGAGATGATAATGACAATCCACCAATATTTTCCAAAACGCTTTACACAAAAACAGTGGCAGAAAACATTAGCATTGGAACCAGCCTTCTAAAAGTTTTGGCCACTGACGCCGATGAAGGATTAAATGGAATTGTTCGTTATTTTATAATTGCTGGGGACGATAATTATGATTTCAATATGGATATGAGCAGTGGTGTTTTGCGTGTTCAGAAAGCTTTGGATTATGAGCGAATGACCAGCTATAGCTTGACTGTGTTAGCAGAAGACAGCAGTATCACTAAACCAATAAATTCAACCACAAAAGTTTTCATAAATATCACTGATATCAACGACTTTGAACCGATCTTCGTTGATTCTCCATATTACGCGTATGTTCAGGAGAACATGAATGAATTACCAGTGCATGTGATTCAAGTTTCAGCAACAGATGAGGACTCTGGTTCCAATAGTCGACTTATATACGCAATCCGGAGCGAGGAAGAGGAACGGAAAATATTCTCAATGAATTCTTCAACAGGGGAGATAACAGCTAATCTGAAGCTAGACCGAGAGAAGAACAAGGAGTACGATCTGATTGTAGTTGCTTTTGATAGAGGTAAGAAAATTATTTTAAAAATTGATCTGAAATTTCTGATACACATGTCACAGGCCAAAATTTAAACAGTAAAAGACTAAATAATGAATAGATATATTTAACTAAAATGTTGGTGGAAGTTCTATCATTTCACCATAAGTTTTTCCATTTAGAGCAATTCCCAAAATTTCATTGTGTATTTTGTTAAAATGAAGTTTATTCGAGATTTCCTAAAACTGCTTTAGACAGCTTTGAGCTAAATAGATAGTAGCCATAGAATGTTGGGTAAAACTTTCAGATTGTTTCAAGGGTCTTTATCTCACACCGAGAAATATTTGAGTTCAGGTTTGACTTGGAAGGAATTTCTTATTGAAAAGATGGCTTGATTATTTGTCACTGTTGTGTAGTACCTTAGGCTTTAGATCTAAATCTCAATGTCAATAAAGGCCTAATCCTCGGCTTTGACAGCTCAGGTTATACACCTTACTTTTGGCACAAATAAAGATTTATTGCGACCACCAGTGAATATTGTATGTAATTAAATGATTTTACACACAATATATTTTATTAGCCGTTTATGTGTTTTTTATTTGTTAAATATACAGTTGGAAAATAATTTGATATATTATGTCAGATAAATTTACACCAGGAAAAACAAACAGCGGGGCCCTTTTGTATATGTATATTATAAATATTAAAATGTTGTTAATCATTTGTTGAGAAAAGAAGAAATTGAAGCAGATGATTGTAATTTGCATTTGTCAAACAATATCTATCTTAATCCATGCCATAGTCTACTCAAATTGATTATTTAATTAAGAAAGCTAAATCAAAATATTAACAGTAGATAATCTCTCAGCTTAGATTAAAAAGAGGCCTAGCAAACGATTATATTTAATTAAAGAGGCATTATTCATGAGCTAAATCTGCCTATTGCAGGTCTTTTTTTAGGCCTTAAATGTTACATGAATTATTAATTAGAAATTTATTAACATGACAAGACCATAATCAATTCTCGATGCAATCGGATGACTCAGATTTTAAGTAGATTAGAACGGTTTGGCTGTTTAATGATTTAATTTAAGAATGGAAAAGTAAGGCTAAGCCTTGAATAACCAGCACCATGGTTACGATAATAAACAATCAATGCACACATCTTGTCAAAACTACAGACATTGATAACTTCACCTAGAATACAGTAATTTGAATAAAATTTTCAATATGTTCATTTTGCGTTATTTATTTTTGAACTATTACAGCAAGAACGGCCAGTTCTTTATCTCAATCTTACTTAATTAATCTTTAAGAAAACCAAATCAAAATATTAACTTTAGATAGTCTTCAAGCTTAGATTAAAAAGAGGACCACCTAAAATTTGTATTTATATTATATACATGTAAGCTATGATATATGAAATAGTACATATACATGTAACTCGACTAGTTCTATGATTATATGGTAGACTCTTACCAATTATTTATGACTTGTACATTTGATATATTCTTTGGTATAAGACACTTTAAAAATTCTTAGTTCATTTTACACATTCAAAAAATATTATTTATGAAAACAGTTACGTTATAAATTGAAACACTATGCGACACAAATATCTGATTTAAAGCTAAATAAATGAGTTAGCCATTGAAATGTTGAATGTTATCATTTCAAATCTTTAAGATGTAAATATGTTCAAAAGGATGATTGCAAACATGTTTTTAAAAGGAGTAAGGTATACAATCTGATCAGAAAAGCTTATGGTCGAGAATTGGAAAAAATATGTATGGAAAAAATTCTTTAATTTGAGAATAGCCTTGTGGTCATGTATTTGATTCATGTGATCTTTGTGTTTGTGAGTTGAATGTCATGCCTATATGTTGAGTGGCTATGGATGTATGTATAAGGAAGTGAGCTATTGAATAGGGAAAATTCCTAGTGGATTTTGTTGTTTTTCAAAATTTCTCTGCAAGATATATTGCCAATGTATTTAGCACTAGAACAGATGATGTTTTACTGACAGGCATATTAATGGGAGCACTCATTTATGTTTTAATGAGGAAAATAATGAACCTGGTTGTGTTACATGGACATTGAACCCCAATTTCTTCTCTCCCTTTTATTCTAAACCCTATTGGTGTGTTTAAAGGATTAGGCTTCCTAGTAACAGGTGTCTATTTGTTTTGGTATTATTTATGTACAATAGAGAAATGATGATCTATTAGAACCTATATCTGACAATATATGATAATAGAATAATAAATGATAGACAATAGATGGTTCTATCCAGCTGACTTTTGACCTGTCCTTCTCTAGATTGGAGATCTCAACAGACATCCAGCAGTGTCATTCATAGTAACTATAATATTTGTTGTATCATGGACATTTTTCCTTCTCTCCCCACCTTAATGATAATTTCAGATAGACCTACGACTATATATATAAACTATCAGAACCATATTTAGACAACTCATTCATTCATATCCTTTAATGTATGTAAAAATAATCTGAAAACTTTAAATTCTGGAAGTGGAAGATTCAGTGATATGGACAGAGTAAAAGCAAACATAATAATTGATGTTCGGTGAAGAGTAGGCAAAACCAAAATTCACCTTCCTAGTATTGACCATAGAAAATGAAACCAGCATGACAAGACATTAAATCCCATTCCATTCCATTTTGCATTATGTTTGTGGTGAACAACCCTTACTTTACTTTGAACAAATAAGTTCAGAAGCTCCACCATCTGTGTGAGTTCCAATTAGACATAGAGTTCTGCAAGATCGATGTAACAGTCCTTCTGTATCTCTGTTGTCCTCCACCATAAAAACTATGGACTAATGAAATTCCAGGGCTATGGATTTGATTGTCCACTGTTTGTTAAATTTAGACAGGATGTCATATTACACCAACCAAGCTCTATACCATTCTATTTAATATGTATCATAATAGCTTTCAGTAGGTTGACAGTAATTTAAATTCATTTAATTATCCTTCAGTATATGACTAAAGGCATAGTTTTAGATGATACCAAAAGAAAGAAAAGTAGAACATTTATCAGGAATTCTGTCTGATATTGTCTTTGACTTGAATATTGCATGCTGACATAAAAGGTTATTCAAAGTTGTTGATACAGCTGTCGTGTTAATGGCACCTACAAATGTGATTTTAAAAGCCTTTCATTACAGTCAATTTCCCAAACCCTAAAATAGATGATCTTTCATCATGACGCCTCAGTAGACCTAACAAGGCAAATAGATGTTAAAATATTTATTATTTTTAAATGTCATTTGTACTTTAATTTTAAATGTATCGTATATGTCTTGTTCAGATGATGTTTTAGTCAAAATTTAAAGCCGAAAAAAATGTGAAGTTTACCTTATATGAAGACCTGAAATGGGGAAAGTGTTTATTATACGAACACCTTAAATATCTAACTCATGAGGAAATTGTTTTATATGAACACCTGAAATCTCTAACTTTTGGGGGAAATAGCTCTATATGAAGACCTGAAATTTCTGACTCCAAAGGAAAATTCTTTATATGAAGACCTGAAATTTCTGACTCATGGGGAAAGTGCTTTATAAGAAAACCTGAAATTTTTAACTCATGGGGAAAGTGCTTTATATGAAGACCCAATATTTCTAATTCATGGGGAAAGTCCTAGCTGGGAAATATTAATGCTTTATTCAAGATTAAAAATTGTGGTGTTAATGAGGTTACCACTGTAGCAAGCTGATTAACTTTAAACTGTTTACAGAATCCAGGTTCTCTTTCACCATGTGAACTTTAATGCCACTTGGATAAATAAATACCCAATTCTCCTGGGCTAAACACACACCGTCTGGCAATAACTCAACTCATTTCGTCAATCTTGACTTTGATTTTGGGAATACAAAGCTTTCTTTTCTTCCTGTTAACAATTCCATATTCTGACATTTTCATTTTCTGTATGACTGCACTTGTGATGTAGTAATACAAAACTTTAATGTAATATAGTTCCTGAAATGGTTGATTAAGGTCTTGTAGACATATTTCTAGAAAGCCTTTGGCCCCTGAAAGCTATAGCACTTAAATGGAGAAAATAAAATGTACTTCCTCAAAGCAGATATAACATGCTTGAAGAATTCAATCAACTTCTGGTGTGAGTTTTTTTAAGTTTAAGTATAAATTTGCTGTCTCAGAAAGCTTATTCTTACAATTTATGATATCTAATACCATTGTGGTGGAAGCATTACACAAAATGTTCAGATGATTCCTGCCATTGCACTCTGATTATAAGCTCGTAACCAAATTGATGGTAAAACCCCAAATAGGAGATGACATGCCATAAAAAATGCAACCATACCGGTTGATTGTTTATTGAAAATCTAACTTAACTAAATAGTAATTATTAGACTATTATGGTAACTCGTAAAATTTCAATACTCTGAGCAATTTGATTACGACTCCTGTTATTTAGATTAGTCTAAATTGTCAAACTGGTCCATTTGACATGATGTCTTTCATGGCTTAAATGGTGTAATTAAATCTCTATTTGTTGGAGATTAGTCAATGTTTATTGGTTGAAAGGAAGGATAGTTTCACAAAGACAATAGTAGAATCCTGTTGTTTACCAGGAGAGTATGGTCTTAAGACATGGCTACTGAAGATACTGGAATGTTTAGCTTGCTGAAAATTTTGGCAAATCACCGTTCTGTAGCTGATTGGTACTGATAGGGTAATGATATCATGCCATTGACCATTATGCTAACATTCAACATGACATGAATAAAATGTGAAGAGTATGTTAGGATGGTCAGATCATTAGGTGGTTGTAATGTTTTACCTTGTGAAAATATTCCCAAAGCTGCAGACAACAAATCATTTTGGTTGGTTGTTATCAAGAGAACATTTTTGTGCTTGCTATTAGAATAACCCCACATCTAAGAGGCCTAATCAATTCCTTAAACATACATTATGCAAGAGTTAAATCTGCCTATTGCAGGTCTTTCTTTATTTCTGAAATGTTAACTAATTTATTAATT